TTTTTTTTTTTTTTTTTTCCTGGAGCAGGGAGGAAAGAAGAAGCCCCTGAAGGCCGCCAAGAAGGGTCCCGTCGAAATGACGGAAGAAGAAAAAGCTTTTAAAAAGGAAATGGCCGAGAAGAAAAAGTACGCCAGCAACTCTCCACCGCATCTCATTCGCGGCACGAGTGAAGACATAGTGTAGACTACGCTACAGTGGCAATATAATTTTATTCAATAATGTCTTCCAACAGATGCTTGTGACATTGGGAATGACATTTCAGTGTGGATACACTATGACATGCTCATGTGCCTTACATATATATGTACCTTTTTACTTGCTCCCGTGTGTTACTCCCTTTTCCTTTGCTCATACCTCTGATCCGTCCCATGTTTCTTGCAGGGCCGAAGAAGAAGCTAAGCAGAAATTGTTGAAGGCCAAAAAGAAGTAAGGGTCTACTCGAATAGCTACATAGAACAAGCAAAATGATGAAGGAGATCCACACCAGTAATGATACCCCTTGGGGTCATTCAATGGATCTCGTTGTTCCAGAAGACAACACAGACGAGAAGCTGGTCATACGCGAAATCCTGCCTAAAGCACACCAATTTGACGCTTTTTTTTTTCTTCTTTTTTTTTTTTTTTAATTTTTTAAGTTTAACCGTATCGTAAACAATGCGCAAATTGTGTGCACTAAGCATGCAAGAAAGAAATTGTCGCAGCTCCCGTTCGTTGAACTTCTTTAGCCCGCGAACCTTTTATGCTCAAAAAGGGGAAACGAAGAAGACGTTTTTGTCTGTCCACTGATTGCAACAAAATTTGTGTCAGTTCTTGGCGACGAAAAAAGAAAACTTCGTCCCATGTACGCATGTGTATAGTATGTATAATTCTTTTGTAAAAAAAAAAAATATTTAAAGAACATGACCAAAGCTAAGGTATGCATAGTCGGTAACGACAGGTAGCCCTTCTGCGCCGAGCAGCAGCGAACTTTACGTCTGTGCAAGCTGCACCTGGAGATAAACGAATTAACTGCGATACGCATATAAGGCAACATATTAATATATACTTATTAATCAGATCAGTGTAAACCCTGACATGACACCCTTTTTAAAACATCGCCGCTCCATGTGTGCTACTTTTAACTTGCATCCGTTTGCTTACATCATAATGGTAGTACGCACATGAGGGGAGAGGGAAGGATTATGTTACTTACACAAGCCCATTGCGCTTAGCTACTCATAAAAAAAAGGTGCTCTTGTAAAACTTAATTTAAAAATATATGATGGGATGATGAACTATACTTTTTTTTTTCCACCACAGGGGATACTTTATTCTTTTGACCGTTCCCCGAGCAGAAAAAAGCAGCCCTGCCGCAGTAAAGGTGACGGGTTTCATTTGCTGGCCTGGGAGAAAGTGGCTATATTTTCTAACACAGTTTTACCTAGTACCTCATTCGCATAATGGTGAAAAGGTCATATGGAAAATAAAAGTTAAAAAAACGTTCGATATGAGCCTACCCATAAATGTTCGAATAAAATGAAGGTTCCATCAAAAAGGATTTTTTTTTTTTCCTATGTTGGCAGCAGATAGGGCAAAACCCCATCAGCCTCACAGGGCGCATACCACTTTATATATTGTACCCCTTTATTCACCGCGAAATGGGTGGATGTTGGAACACAAAAAATAGGGGCATATATATGTACTATATTGTATATGTAAGCACGCGGTGGGGCGAAGCAGTGGGTATAGTATTTTTGTTACCCATCATTCATGGTGCTGTTTAAGCGGAAAGGAGGAAAAAGAAAGTAAGCACTATTTCCGAACACGTTAGCAGGTAGCTCTACCTTTTACTACTCTAAAAAAAAGGAATGGTTGAAGGGGCGCAGTGGTAGGCCTGCAGATAAGCCAACTGTTAAAGGCACCAGGTGCTAATAAAAAAAAAAAAAAAAGCACCATTAAAGTGGGTGGTACAAAGCTGTAGTGTGATGCGACCTGCATTCGGGGAAAAGGTCAAAAATAACAAAAAAGTCACACTACAAATGGTCGCACGTGCGGGTCATAACAAAAAAAAAACATGGCATACATATATATGCATAGGAAAAATATATAAAAGCGTCATAGTACATGTATATTTATGGCACGCGGGAAAGGGCTGCTGTTATATATTGTTATTTATGTATTTTCACCAGTGTCGTGGTAAATTATTTTAACAAAAAATTTAACGTACAGTCACGTAAATACTTTTGCGCATACAAGATAAGGAACACTCTGAAGTAGATTTGAAAATATATTGTAGTTAATTTTTTTTATTTAGCCGCTGGCGCAAATTTATAACTGTAACACGTCGCTTGTAACAAGTTTTCCCATCGAGCGTATTTTAACCTTCGAACTTTGCGAATTTTCAAATTTCCAAACATCCCAACTTCTCACTTGAAACCTTTACGAAAGCAACTGGCGAAAATAAAATGGCGGTAGGAAAAAACAAAAGAACATCAAAGGGAAAAAAAGGAGGAAAGAAAAAGGTCACAGATGTTTTTACCAAGAAGGAGTGGTATGACCTCAAGGCCCCCAAAATGTTTTTGGTTAGGAATTTCGGAAAAACCTTAGTCACGAAAACCATTGGAAAAAGTAAGTCCCCGGAGGAGTTGTCGAGAGGGCGCCATGTAAACGTGATGCTAGCCAAATTGTATCATTAATTTTTTTTTTTTTTTTTTTTTTTTTGGCTTGTTCATACGGAATGTTGCGGTCATATGTTTTATGGCAGCGCAGCGTGATGTTGCACAGCCTATCGACAAATCAGCTTTTTCTGATGCTCTGTTGATTTGGATATGCTGGAGATAGGCTGTTTGATGTGTCCGTTGCGCATTGCCTTGTGTGACTGCGTGAGCGCCTTCACCCTGTTACACTCCCCTGTGTCGCACTTCACCTTATTTCACTTTACTTGTCCTTTTGCGATTCCCCACCCGCGCAGAGTTGGCCACGGACGGCTTGAAGGGACGAATTTACGAAGTTAACCTGGCCGATCTGAACAATGACGAGGACCAAGCTCACAAGAAAATAAAACTGTGTTGTGACCACATCATCAACAAAGATTGCTACACAGATTTCTGCGGTCTGAGCATAACAAGGGACAAATTATGTTCATTGATCAGAAAGGGATACACACTGATTGAAGGATACACGGACGTAAAAACGATTGACAACTACCACCTGAGAATGTTTTGCATTGCTTTCACGAAGAAGAGACCAAATAGAACAAAGACTACTTGCTACGCACAGACCAGCCAAATTAAAAAAATAAGAAAAAAGATGGTTGATATCATGAATGCTGAAGCGAGTAAAGTTTTACTAAAGGATCTTGTGAAGAAGTTTATTCCTGAATCGATTGGAAAAGAAGTGGAAAAACAGTGCAAGAAAATATACCCCCTACAGAACGTTTTAATAAGAAAAGTCAAAATTTTAAAGAGACCCAAATTGGACATTTCAAAATTAATGGAATTGCACACAGACTCTAAGGAAGACGCTGGAAAAAATGTCAAATCTTTACCTGAGTCCAAAGAAGCCACGAACATCTTAAGTGCCGAGTTGAAACATTAGAGGGGTGTTTTGTTGTTCCTCCTTCAGCTGTAGTTTGTGTGTGGGAGGTATATGTAGGGGAGATGTGTATTATGTGCTATAATCCAGTTTGGTTGTTTTCTCCCCATGCGATTGTTTCCTCCATTTCAAAATCACACAAAAATTGTTGCATGTATTATGTGCACTCTCATTCGGATGCTCATTCCGTTTTAATGGTAGTCCCCTCCAGCGTACAATGTATTTTGTCCTACCGCATGTGTGTATATTTTCGTGTATAGTATACATGTGGGCATGTCCACGCGAGAACGTGTGATTTCTTTTTTTTTTTTCTTTTTTTTTCCTTTTTTTATGAATTCATTAACGGAACGGGACTTAATTTAAAAAAAAAATAATAATCGCGGTTTTTACGAAAAAGTTTGCACGTGCGATGAGTTCTTACGCACGGTTGCGAAAGTGATATGTTTCTAAGTTTTGAAGCTGCAAAGGTGCGAACACGTGTACGTGAGCATCCGCCGGGGGGTTGTGTCTAGGCGGTTACCCCCACTTGCGGGCATTCCCGCCTCTACCCACTTATTGCTTAAAACAATGGGGCACAAGGCAATTAGAAAGGGTGTTGCGTGGCCGTCACACGCGCTAATAAGTGAAAGACAATTCACACACTTTTGCAGTAAAAAAGAGTGTGTGTTGTAGGCTATAATTTTTTTTGCATAGTCGTTTGGTTAGCGGCGAGAGCCAACATGGTATATAAGATAAGTACACGTGCATGCTTTCTGGTCACCTTATTGTTTGCCAATACTTTGCAGTCTTATTAGCAGCGGTTTTAGGTCTGTTGTAGAAGTGGATGGTGCGGTGGTCATAAGTGGGTGAAAAGGCGCGCAGGGGGATAAATAATTAGCTAAGCAAAGTGTGGGGTATCTGCCTTCTGCGTTGCTTACCTGCCTCGTGCTGATATTGGACGTGGGTTTTTTTAAAAATTTCTTGTGTTTTCACAAGGACGTCCTTAAAAAAAAAAAAAAAAAAGGGGGCCAGGGCAATGTTTGTGCAGTAACCCTGTTAGGAAGTTTTGCTCATTTGCAGTTTTTCATAACCTATGCGCGGAGACTAAATGGATTAACAAGCACTTACGTTCAGCATGCTCGAATGCTTGGCGACTTCCAGCGCAACGTTTTCCATCCGTCCTTGGAATTCTTTTTTTTTTTCCTCAAGGATTAAATTTTTGTTCACAAGAATGTTGTCTTTCTCTTGTCTAAGCTCTACTGTTCGGTTAATTTTTTGTTTTTTTTTTTTTTGGTATCAAGTTAGGACGGTAAAACATATGCACACGAAAAACAACAAAAAAAAAAAAAAAAAAAAAAATTAAGAAGCGGGGTGAAAAAAACTCCACTCATTCGTGCATATTAATTACATATTTCACTGTACGATCTTTCGGAGAGAACTTTCAAATCGGTTAACACGTCGTGGATCTGCCGTTCGATGCTTTTGTACTGATTTAAGATTTGTTGGTACTCGGTTAGGAAATGCTCATAGTTGGCTTTATTTTCTACCTCCAGCTGCTTAATGTTTTGAATTTTGTTTTCTCTTTGCTCCTTCAGCGTGTTGATAAGTTTGGTTTTTTCCGCTGCTCATGTATGAGGTGGAAAAGGGGGTGAATGGGCATATGCTCATTTGCCTATATAAGTGCGTGCCCCCGGGGAGTAACCTTTTTGGGTGGCTTAGTTACGAAGTTTGACAGATCGGATGAGCAAGCCTTCCCAGGTCAGACAGACCACATGCTCAATGCACAGCGTCATGTGTATCACCTAGAGGAGACGCACTTCCCTCCCCTCCTCACCTAAGTCATTTTTTAGACATTCGATTTTTTCTTTAAGTTCCTTTGCCTTCAACAAATGTGCATCCTCTTTCTGTTTATTTTTATCCTTCCCCGATTTCATTGTTTCGCAAGTTTCGCTTCATGCAAAGGGGAAGGATATGTGTTAGTACAGCGCGCACCAAGGCCCCAGGAGGAGTGTGCTTTGATTTGTGCACGCGAGCATAGGTGGGAGGAGGGCGACCTACAAGGGTCACAGGAGGGTCATTCACTGCTACGCGCGGCCACACAGGGGCATCTATACGCATCATCCGAAAAGAAGATCATTGCTGCTAAACTACAAAGCTGCGAAATTGACCAGCAGGACAAAGACACTTGCGCGGGAATACACTTGTCTCCGCTTGTCATACACAATTCATTCTAGTTTATCCCCCCTCGATTTGGAAACCAGGAGACAAAGAACGGTATAATTGTGAGAAAAAAAAAAAAAAAAAATACCAACATAATGCCCCTGCGGATGCACATCCACTTTGTACCTTCCGCGAAACAAAAATGCGATGTCATTTTTCTACATTTGCGCTGGAACTTTTGTTTGACAGATCGGATGAGCAAGCCTTCCCAGGTCAGACAGACCACATGCTCAATGCACAGCGTCATGTGTATCACCTAGAGGAGACGCACTTCCCTCCCCTCCTCACCTAAGTCATTTTTTAGACATTCGATTTTTTCTTTAAGTTCCTTTGCCTTCAACAAATGTGCATCCTCTTTCTGTTTATTTTTATCCTTCCCCGATTTCATTGTTTCGCAAGTTTCGCTTCATGCAAAGGGGAAGGATATGTGTTAGTACAGCGCGCACCAAGGCCCCAGGAGGAGTGTGCTTTGATTTGTGCACGCGAGCATAGGTGGGAGGAGGGCGACCTACAAGGGTCACAGGAGGGTCATTCACTGCTACGCGCGGCCACACAGGGGCATCTATACGCATCATCCGAAAAGAAGATCATTGCTGCTAAACTACAAAGCTGCGAAATTGACCAGCAGGACAAAGACACTTGCGCGGGAATACACTTGTCTCCGCTTGTCATACACAATTCATTCTAGTTTATCCCCCCTCGATTTGGAAACCAGGAGACAAAGAACGGTATAATTGTGAGAAAAAAAAAAAAAAAAAAATACCAACATAATGCCCCTGCGGATGCACATCCACTTTGTACCTTCCGCGAAACAAAAATGCGATGTCATTTTTCTACATTTGCGCTGGAACTTTTGGCGAAGAAGAATCATTTTGATGCTTTTACAAATAATTGCTCTATTTTTAAGCAAAAAGTGGACATGCGAGAGGAATCTCCCACAGTACCTCCACCCACATATTCATGCGTCTTGCCCGCAAAGGTATTGAGGACATCCTGGTGGGGAGGACAAACTGCCATTTTAAAAAAAGAAAATTTCACCATCGCCCTGTGTACACAAATTGGCTCAGGGATGTAACCGTACAAACGACGTCCCCCACGGTACTTAACTTTGACGTCTTAAAGGAAAATAAATTCAAGTGATGGGAACGCCCTATTTTGCATACACATGTTTATGAATTCCTGGTCGTTCCCTTTGGTCTAGGTGTTACGTACAAGTAACTCTTTTTTTTCTCATGCGACGTGGTAGCTCCCTTTCTCTCCTTGAGTACACAAATGTGTTGTGAAAGGCGCAGATAAAAAGGAAAAAAACAGCCCAGTGTGACTCACACAACTGGTAATTATTACCCATGTAAAATCATTTTTCCTCAGAGTACGCAAAGTTATATTCAAAAGGAACTAATAGTGATTATGAAAAAAAATAAAATAAAACATATTGCTGAATATTACTGCTATGATTAATCGATGCGGTGTGTATACGCATTTTTAAAACCCTCCCTTTTGCGTACTTTTTCTTGCCCACATAAATACCGTTCAGCATTTTTTTTTTTTTTTTTCCTTTTTTATTTTGAGTAAATCGTCCACAGAATGGCTTCAATTTGGTCATCCGCTTAACCTCTTTTATCTTTTAAAAGAATTAAAATTTCTTATGGCCTCTTTCAAAAGAGCGTTTGTTAGTTTTTGTTTTCCTTCCAGGGAACTTGTTGTGTCCCCTTGTTCATGCATATGTTTTGTACTTTTCCACTATGCACGCATGAGAAGGAAAACAAAGACCAGTTAAAAGGGGGAGAGTGCCTGGGGTTACGAAAACCCTGGGCTTCGTTCGGTTCCTCACATGCGCGGACAGTGAGCGTTTGCTACTATTGTCACTTGTTGTTCGTTGCTTACCTTAGGTCGCTTACCTCGTCGTCTCGTCACCGTTTCTCCCCACCGCCAAATAATTGCGTCGTTGAATAACCACCTGGTTTCTTAGCCGCTTCGTACGAACCTGCTTGTGCGGTCTCTCCGTCTTGTCAGGGGCCACCCAGTGAACTGTAAAAGTGTAGGGGAATATGAGCGAGCAGCACAGCGGACAGTACCAGGGGGAACCCCACGCAGGGGTGTATCGCATGGCCAAAGGGAATGTCGCCGAAGCGAGGCACTCCAAAATGAACAACAAGAGGAAAAACTACAACCCGAATAATAATGCCGATGGGGCAGGCCCTCGGCATGATAATCCCCCAATGGAGGGTCATCCGTCCATCGGTTACGAGAGTAAAAAAATGAGGACACTTCCATACGGTGTGTCCGACAGGACAGCGAACAGTGGCGGCAACAGGGGGGCCTTATATGGCGGAGAGAGCTCTGGTGTTAAGCACTTAACGGAAGAGACATACCCGCCCAACTACACCCTCTACTCGAGTCAGGCAAATATCATGACACACCCTAATCGAAATGCCCCCATGAAAAATAACTCAGTTAACAAATGGCCCAATGCCAACCCAAGTAGTGACTTGGGTCCTCATAAAATGTATGTTAACAATGAAAAAAAAAAGGACAACTATAAGAGTAAAAATTTTATGAATAATCAAAACTTAAATTTGTACAAGTACTCCAACAGTTGGAAGAACGTCAGGAGGATGGGGGGTGGTGGACAAAATGTGTCTTCTCGAGAAAAGGGAAATCAACAAAAAATGAAAAGTGGCGACGAGGCGGGGGGTGCCTTTGGGTATGGCAGTGGCGAGCAGGTCGGTTCGGTAAGCGGCCTGAGTAGCGGCCTGATTAGCGGTCCGATTGGCGACCCGATCAGCAATCCGATTGGTAACCCCAATGACAACCCCCATGTAAACATCCCTAGCTGTAGTGCCGTCCCGATGATGGGGACAACCCGCGGCAACAACCTGAGTTACAAAAGAATGAACAGCTTGTCATTTTCCAGACGAACCAACTTTCAAAAGGTAGTACCGGCACAAAAATATACCAATAAAGTTTACCCTAATAAGGCTCTGTCTAACTTGAGTGACAGAGGTAACAAGGAGGAAGTGGATAATAACGTAAATGTTAAAGGGGCAGGGAAACAAAATTTTGTGTTAGGAAAAAATCGAATGATCTTTCAGAACAAGAAGTGGTTTGATAGCAACAACACGAATGATAAAGGTACCGCTGCGGGGTTGGGTGTCCACAAGGGAGAGTCGTCCTCCAGTGGTAGGGTGGACGATGATGTGGTGGGAGGTTCCCCAGAGCAGTGGGACAACAACGTCAATGGGGGCAATAAGGACAATGGGGGCAACGAGGGAACTGCCCTCCCCCAGGAGAATGCACACATTTTAGAAACGCTCTCGAAGTATCTGAATTCGGTAGGCAACAAAGGGACGGCGGACCACAACTCAATATACAAAGCGTTGACGCAAAATAAAAGTAAAGAGTCCTTGATGAACTTACTCGATAATATAAAGCTTTTGGAGGAGGAGGCGTCCAAAGGGATGCCGCCACCGGGAGGGACAGCCACTGGACAAAGTTTAGTTGGCGGTCTGTACAAGGCGGAGAGCAGGATGATGGATGAAAGTAAGAACAGAGTGAAATTTATAAGTAGCTCGTTTAATGAGTTATCATCGAGCATGTTATCGAATGTGGTGAGGGGTGAAATGAGTGCCAGTGGGGAGAGTGTGTCTTCTGTGTTGAGCAATGCTAGAGGTATTCACGACGTGGGTGCTCACAATAAAGTTAGCCACCCACGCTATGACAATATTGGAGGTCACAAAATGGACACATCAAATTTTTCCTGCGCAGAGCCGTTGCAAATGGATCTCCAGAACGACTTTGCTCCTCGGGGGGAGTCCAGTCTGAGTAAGGTGGGTAAGGCAGCCCCGGGGTTGTACGGAATTGGGGACAGGGGGAGACACGCGATAGACGCAGCAGATGTAGCAGAAGGGGCAGAAGCGGCAGACGCAGAGAAGGCCGATGGCTGCGCTTCCTCCGTGGCTATCTTCAGGCAACTTGGGAAGGACCACACAACGTGGGACAAGTGGAAGCATGCAGTGGCCAAGTGCAACCATCAGAAGACACAGACCACATTCGACAAAGTAGAAGAGAGCATGAACAGTAATATAAAAATAACGGAAATTTTTAAATCCAGTCTATTCTGTAGTGAAAGCAAACACATATACAAAAACGCGCTGTATATAAATTACAAAGAAATATGGATGCACAGTGGAAAATTTCTTCAGTTGGAGAATATCTTCCACTTTGGAAAAGCCAAGGAGAAGAAGAAAGAAACGAACATTATCGAATATGCGATGAACTGTTCAATTCCGTTTAGCAGTTTTTTATTTTTTTTTAATAATTTTTACGAAATCACAGAATATTATCAATACAAAATTTGCTTTTTCCTTATTTACAAAATTATTATTATGCATGAGGATGATGAAGAGTATGGACGGTACTACAATTTGGTCATTAAGATCCTTAATGAGAATACTTTAATTTTTTTTCTCCTTGTGTTGATTAACCTGATGGAAAAGTACTCCCTCAAGATGGTTTATTTTGTGAATTTCATTGAGAGGTTACTTCCTGTGGTAACGAAGGGACCCCGTGTGTCTGCAGGAGCCAGCGGCATGGCAGCATCTTCCCCAAGCACTAACCCTAATGGGACAGACAAAAGGATTTTCTTCAACATGCTTTTTTTTAAATTATTCAGGTTAATATTTTATCGAATCGAATTATTTTCCACACAGAAGAAGCACCTACTGATGCTATTTTTAAGGTACATAAAGAACTTCTTACTGAACATTTGCTCCTCTATTTTGATCACACAGTACCTTTTTATAAAATGTGTAGATCTCATGAACAAGTACAACAACCAGCAGTACATTTTGATCAAAACGACTTCCATGGAAATATTTTTGCAACTGTGGAACAATGATTTATTAAAACTCTACATTTTGAAGATTGGAAATGCCCTGGTTCGCTTCCTCATTTTTATGAGCAATGTAGAGTATGTGAATAAAAATATTTTCCCTTTCATTTTGACCCCCATTGAGAATGGTAATCAGGTGGAGATGAGGGATGCCATTGAGGGGATGTTATACAGGAGTAGATATTACACACAGGGGAGGAAGAGGTGGAAGCATTATTATAAAAAGTTTGAAAGGACAAATAAGTGTTCCCTTTTGGTTAGGAGTTATGGTGTTGATGATATTCAAGAGGTTGTTCTGTTGCCCTCCCACCAGAAGGACGAGCAGCAGGAGCAAGATCAGAAGGAAGAGGAACAAAACTCCGTAGTGGAGGTTCCTCCTGGGGGTACCCTTCGCACTGATCAATATGGAAACGTACGGACGGATCTCCGACACGATACGCTCCTCGAGCACATCATGCAAGTACGTAAAAGTTACAACTACTACAAAATTTTGCTCCCCCCTGATGAGAAGAGCTGCCTGAAATTCATCCTTCAACTCAAAAACCGAAACAACAACTTCCACTTTGACCTCTTCTACAATTTATTTATCGAGTCTAATTTGGCCAATTTGATTCACGAAAATAAGGTGATATATTATGTGGAGTTTATAATGAGTAGGGGCACCAATGTGAAGGGGGATGAACAGGGGGAAGAGAATTTCATGAAAGGATGTATGAGCGTACGTGGCCTGCACGGTTTAGTATGCGCAGGGGAGGAAGGGGATGTCCCCATTTCAAGCAGCATTTATTCCCATGTGGACGATGTTTTTCATTCAGTTTTGCGTCCCGACCAGCAGAGTGGTTGCGTTAAAGAGGATGACGAGGACAAGGAGGAAGAGGACCAACCAGCTCGCCTCAAGGAACAACTCTTATTCGACCTGCATGCGATAATTCAACGAAGAAACTGCGTAATGTCCAAAATATACGGCGCGCACATTAGGCTGAGTTTTTTTTTTTGCGTCTTCTTCTACAAGAGTTACGACATTTATAGGATCCTCTCTAGCGCACTTGGAACACATGCCAGGAAGTTTAAAAATTTTAAAAAGGAGAATCAGAAGGCGATTAAATTTATGAACATTAATAACATTACGCACATTTTGACGGTCACCTTTTTGCTCAAGTTTTTGGCCCACTTGGGGAGGTCATCACCTCAGGGAGGAGCTCTCCATTTGGCCGCTACACACGGGAGAGATGTGCCCCGTTTGACACCAGAAGAGGAAGACTTCCTCTCATGCTACCGCCTCCTGGAGCACGGCCTTGGCAAAGACATCAGCACGGCCAGTACGTTCCTGAACTACCTGAACAACGTCATCCTTTATCTGCACGAAAGGAAAAGAGAGAACTTGGTGTTGAGCATGATCATAACACTTACTATATACAACTTCTTAACTCTAATTGGGAAGAAGCAGAATAGAATTGAACATTTGGAGACCCTCAGCTTAAGTGAAATTTGTAATGAAATACATAATAACTGCCTCATAGGGTTGCTATTGAAAGAAAATAATTATTTCATTGACAGCGAGACCAAGTTCACAGAGGTGGAGGACATCTACTCCGTCGAGCTGAATAACCACATGAAGTTTATCCCGACAGACATTAACAAGGAGATCTTCCAGCTGGTCCATTTTAAGAAATACGTTTTCCAGAAGGGGGCATACAAAAAAATTGACATTATAAAAATAGGCAGGAGAAATCCTGTGAACAATTTATACACCTCGGAGATCCTGAACTACATTTACTATAACACGCTGTATCTGCTTATCCATTTTGTTATGAACATTCGTTTTTATGAAGCAATCTTTAGGAGGACGTACAAGGTGAGCGGTGGTATGATTAACCAGGTTGACGGTGAGGGTGTGTGCAGCTTTGTGCGAACTGGGGGAACGTTCAGGTGGGAAGGGGAGGTGGAGGAAGCCCAACCAAATGGGCAACACCCTTCCCTCACCATAATCCTGAAAAAGCAAAATGGGGATACTTACTGGAGGAAAAAAAGGTACATTGTAAAATTTTACAGAAAGGCCAAAAAAAGAATTGTCAAAAATTTGAAGACCTACTTGGTTTCCAGCAATGTGAATAAATTTATGCGCAGCTTGGAGGAGGACAAGTTTTTCTTGAACCTTTTTTTTGAGTTTGATAATTCCCCCCTGTTTCTTCACTCGATTTTGCTCCAGGGTGGTGAGCATACTGATGGAGGAGCAAATGAGGCAAATTCAAATACAATTCCTAGTGTAAATACTGATGCGAATGAGAGTGGCCGTTTGAAGGCGATGGGAATGCCGGGGTCTCTGCTTTGCCGCCATGTAAACATCCTTAAGGGGGTACACAATTTTTGCCTTTTCGTTGAGGATATAAACAAGCTCATTAGCTTTGTCACCCATCGAGGCAAGGGCAGGTGCGACATGGTGAAATGCACTTTTGCGAATTTCCCCCTTGTGCCCGTTGAAGACAATTTCAGCGTTCAGTTTCGCTTCTACACCATTGTGTGGAGCGCTTGGGTTGAGCGTGACAGCGAGGACTCCCCAGTTGGAGTGTCCACGGGTGAACTGTGCGCCCCCTTCACCTATGGCGAACAAAATGAGTGTGCTTTTCATTTCAACGAATTGATAGATCGCGTGGTGAGTACAATTGTGGACGCGAATTACGCGAAGGAGAAAATCGTGTGGTGGTCTGAATTTTTTTACAGCCTGGGGAACTTTGGCGTGGTGAACTTCCATTTACTTTTTTACTTGTGCTCCCTGGTGAGGGGCTTGGTCTGGGGGGGCGCAGAGGTGGGGCACTACACACACCTCGATGTGAACAGAAGGGACCACTTCCCCGCCCGCTTCTCGCATGCCCTGCGAAGGAAGATCCAAATTTGCGAACAGATATATGTGCTGTACCTATTCAGGATAGGCCTCCTCCTGAACGTGAGTCTTTACGAAGCCTTCGATTTGCTAACTTCCTTAATCAGTGCTGTTTTTAACTTTGATTTTTTCCAATTTTACTTGAAGAAAAAGAAGTATCATGTAGAGCAGGGCACTCGGGAGGAAGTCCAATCATTTGTTAACAGTGTGAAAGAAGAAGCGAAGAATATTCTGACCAACTACGATGTTAATGTTTTTGTAGAAAGCATTATCCATATTAGCGATTGTGTGTTTTTTTTGAAAAGCGTAAAAATTTTAATTCTTAAGAGCTACTGTTTTGTTAATGTTCTGTTGCACGTGCTGTCCTTGAGGAAAGTTATTATTGATATGAGCAACGTGGAATGTGTTGACCTTCTCGAAGGGGAAACGGACATTGGGGAGGATACATTTCCAAGTGCTTCGAACAGTGAGGAACGCGAGAAGGATTCTCTTCCTGATTGGAGGAACTACGACTCGGCGGAAGAATCGGAGAAGTTTAGCTCGTCGGACAGTAGTGAAGGTCATAAGGTGGAGGACAATTTGGAGGGTTATGGAAGCTTCTGCAGGGGAAGGCATCTGGAAAAGTCTGCCGATGAGGCGCTTAACAACCGGATGAAAAATCCCAAAGGGGACCACGGAAAGAACGGGGGAGGAAGAAATGGAGAGAAGAAGAAAATATGGATTTTACACATCTTCAAATATTTTGATTGCCACTCATTTCTGTGCTTTGGAAAGGACAAAACGGAAGAGGAGCATTTTTACGAAAAAAAAAAAAATTTCAGAAATTTCTTTTTCCCCTCAAATTTTAAAAAATGGAAAAAAAAAAAAAAAAGTGATCAAGATTTGTGCAAATTAGTGTATACGTTAAAGAAGCGGTTAATCCAAAACGGAAATTTTTTAAGCATGTATAAGCAGGCCTTCTACGTAAAATGGACCTGTCTTCGTATTTTTATTTTGCAAAAGTACCGGTTAAAAATGTTTAACAGCGTTGAGGCCTTTCAGTACATATACGAAAGAATGAACTCCGTGGCGAGAACAGAAAATTTGTTTTTTAAAATTCCAGCGGATATGAATTGGGGTGCGTCCTTCGAAGGCTGCGCAGACATTAGGCACCCCTTCCTCATCTGTCTTTGCCACATCAGCCGCCAGGTGGGGGCTCTGTTGAGGCACCACCGTAAGATGAGCGATCAGCTTGATGAGACAGAGCAGCCTGCCATTCGTGACTCCCCAGAAGCATTACCCAACGAAGAAGAAGCTAAGCGACAACATCAAGGGGAAGCACTATATAACGAGGTTAACATTTATTTAAACAATTTCATTTTTTCCTTTTATCCATATCTTATCAAGTGCCGTTTTTCCTATGACGTATTTTTGAGGCTCCTCAGAATTTACCTGAACATGTATTTGATAATGAAAGAGAGAAATGCCCGTTCTGTGCGCTCTCCCATTTATCTCCTTCTGATGATTTTTGTGCACCACACACATGTGTGCAAATACTTGATGTTTTCCTACTTGACGAGGGTTAAGGAGTATTTGCGTTCTCCTGAACAATCGGAGGAGGATTTACACGAAAACTCGCTGCCGCGTGAGGCGTTGCAGGTTTACTTCAGGTATGCATGGCGAGCCGTCCTCGATGGATTAGCCCGTTGGATATGCTGAGTTTACGCGAATGAGTTGGTGTGATGTGCATCTATAGCATCGTTCTTGTGTCAACTTTTTCGCGTGGCTTTCGCACTGCAGCGTTCACCATTACGCGTGCTTCTCATTATTTTATTTTATTTTTTTTTTTTTTCCTTTTCAGAGAAAGTGTGGAATTTTTTCTGCAGAATTGCACCCAGGAACACCTCCAATTTGACTACGTAGAAATCAGCTGCGACGGAAACGCGCTTTCGCTGTTTTATCACATGTTAGTTGGGAACTTTGCGTAGCATTCGTGGGGGAGCTTTGTTGCATATACAAGAATGGAAGGAAGAGAGAGAGAGAGAAAAAAAAAAAAAAAAAAAACGCGTTGTTGTGTGTACTTGATGGAAAAACGCATTTTCGCGCTTGCGCTTATTCGTTTTTGGATGTTTGTCTATTTTTTCGTTCTTCCTTTTTTTGGAAGTGATAAGCTTGTTTTCTTCGTAATTAAATGTTTTCCTCTTTTTTTGTGTATGTAATTAATTTGAACATTGGAAGTGTCGCTTGGGAGCTTTACGTGTTACTTGCCTCGTTCGTGGCACCATGAAACTTGTTCCTTTTTTTTCCCGCGCTGGGTTGTCGTCTGCTGTGCGTTTTGCACATCTGAGCTTGGAGATTCTCAATTGCGCCCTCCTCCTCCTGTCACCTGCGCGAATGACGAGAATGTCGATATTCACCGTATCCGCCGTACCAGCCAGCCTCGCCATAGTCGCCATCTTCCTCCCTGTCGCTAGGTCCATTTGACTCGCTGGGCGCGCTGGGTTGGCCTTGGTAGTCCGGTTCCCGCCCGCCGAGGAGCCGCAAGTGCAGCTGGTTAATCTCGTCGAAGATGATTTGGGTGAAGAGCATAATTATTTTGAGCTTGTTCAGGTCGCTCTTGCCAAGAGACTTGAAGTAATTACGCCGATTGTACCTGACATACAGCCCCATGTAAGCAACGACCAACAAAACATTCACAGCAATGAATAGTGAATTTTTATTGTATGATGAAAGGAAGAGAAAATATTTTGAAAAAATGCTAAAGAGCAATTCTGGCTTGATAAAATTAAAGTAGACGAGCAGATCGTATCTGAGTAGGGAAATTATAAAGCCAAAAAAGATAGCCATATATTTGAAGAAATAAAATTTAATGTTTTGAATTCGAAGGGATCTGTTTTGCTTCACAACGTGTTCATTGTCTGCTATTTGTTTCAAACAGGTGCTTTGTATTATTTCAAGGTCTCTCTTGAGCATATAGATGCTTTGGTTGCTCTTCAGGTCGATCGTTTCGTCGATTTTGAATATCAATTCGTGTATCATGTTAAGTTCCCTCACGTCTTCATTGCGCATTCCGCTGTGCATGCCGGTGCGTGTGCCAGGGGGGAGGTAAGCCGAGCTTCTCCCGTTCACATGGTAGTCGCTGTCTGTTAAGGACTCGCGGCAAGTGTCATTATCCACACCGCGGAAGTAGGTCCCGTGGTTGTAATGCCCTTTGGCATAGTCCCCGTGTCTTCTCACCCCAGCGTTTTCATTTCCAAAAAGGAGAAACTCTTCTGGTATGCTTCTCCTTTGAGAGTACCTCGAATTTCCATGTCTACTGTCCATGTGCTCCTCTTGCTCATACTGAATGTTACAGCTAAATCTGTTTCTTCTTTCTTGATTATATTTTCGATTAGCTCCTTCTACTTTTCCTTTTTCATATTTCCATTTTTCCTTTTTAAGTATGTCGCTTGGAATTTCTGGAAGATAGATGGTCAAAAACTCGAGTACTTTATACGTGTTATTTCCTCCGTCGTTCATATGAGTGTATTTTAATTTGTTTGCTTCATCCAATTGGTGGAGCTTCTCCACGTTCACAGCTCGTCCACGACCACCACTCGTCCTATTGATGTAGTTGTTTATGCTTGTATGGATTAGGCTGTAGATTGTTGTTATTACTTCGTAGATGAGCACAAGAAAGAATATGCTCACGTTTTTCAGACAGTCCCCGTAGTTTATTTTTTTTTCGAACAGCTTGTCCAGATGTGTTTTAATCTTCCTTTCTTTTGATTTTGACGCATCGGTGTGTTTGATAGGAGAGTGTCCCGTCGGAGGTTGCTCCCCTATTCGCGTCGAGTTTAATCGACCGATGCCCCCCTTAACGACATTACCAGAGCTCAATATTTTGTCCTTAAAGGAGTTGTAACTTTTGGTCAAAATTTTTTTCAAAATCCCTCCTTTCTCTTCTTCGCCAGTACCTTCCCCCTGCACACGTTCGCCTTTCCTCTGTCGCGTTGGGAAGTTGCTCTGATCACCCCCATAATACATTTGCCGATCGTCCTGGTAGGGTTCGTCTTCATCGAAGTAGTGGTCTACATTACCATTGCTGAGTCCTCCTTGGTTATAGCCCCCCTGTTCCTCTCCGTAGTATTGCCCTACATCATCCATGTCACCCCGGTCGTCCACATCCCCCCGCGCACTGCGGAGGGAACTCCTAGAGGCAAAGGCACCTCGGAAATTTCCCTGTTGGCCGCTTCTTCTGCTAATCATTTTGGTGAGCATTTTTGGGAAGAGCAGGACGTTCTGGAAAGAGCGAATAGATCGGTTGAAGAATTCGTGTATCATGTGAGCTTTTTTGCTTAGTGGATTTCGCCAGTCCATTTGGCCGTGTCTACTTCCTCCGGTGTGGTGACCCACATAGGGCTCTATTTGCGCCCCGTCGACAAGAGAAGCAACCCCTTCTGGGTTTGCCAAGCTATACCTAAACAAATTCAAGCTTCTTAAAAAATATTGAGTGAGGTAGAACACTACTCTGTAGAGGTTAACCTTTTGAATCATGTCAATCCTGGTGAGACAGATGGTAACTTTGTTCAACTGATTATCCATGAGGTAGTTGATAATGCGTAGGAGCCTGTTGTTTATGGAGAACTGATTAGAATCCACAAACAGGAAAATTGCATCTACGTATTTGGACAAATTCATAATAATTTCATCATACTCCACATCACATATGTCATTGATCCCACTGGTATCTAAAAAAGATACAGAATTGATTCTGTTCATGTATTTGGTCAGATTATTCTGGTAGCAGATTTTTCCAAAAATGTACTTTTTCACATTGTGTACCTTTTTTCGTAGCTTTTGAAATGGCCTGAACAGATAATCACAATTTTCTCCTGACAGGATTATTTTTTTACTTTGATTGTATGTATTATCCATGCTATGTGTGGGGATGCCAGGAGAGGAGAGATCCTGCTCGTTGGGGTCACCCATATGATCACTGTTCATTTGTGGAGTGTGTCTTTCCCTACTGTAATGGGAAGAGCCATAAGATCCACCCCTATTTGTGCGTCTGCTCACAAGGCCAAACTGGTAGTTGGCATTATTTAACCTCTTAAAATTAAATTTAAAATTATTTTTTATATCTACGTAGGTAATTTCATTTTTCTTGGCGATCGAATTTGTGTTTTGAACATAACTTTCTGTGAACCAATTAATGAAGGAGCTCTTCCCACTCTGAGGGGTTCCGAGTAGCAGGACGGTAGTTTTTTTGTGGAAGACAGAGATGTCCACATTTAAATAATCACTTATGAGGTTTAAGTTCAAGTCATTTATGCATATGCTATTATTGGTGTTGTTTACATTTTTTAAATTTGTGTACCTAGACTGTTTATTGTATATTTGATCTATTCGATTGAGTACATCTGCCATGAAATTGTCATTTTCTTCCCTCAGGTAGGTGGTGTCTCCCGTTAGATAATATTCACTGTTAGGGTTACGATCAAGTGTGTTGCTATTATTAATATTTTCATTCTGTCCACATGTGGCTGATGCCGCTGGTACATGTGCCTCCCTGTGGATTCCCCTTTCTGCATCGTTGCTACTGTTGCAGCTGTAGCAGGAGGAGGCGCCCTCTTCGGCTTCTTCCCCCTCTTTGGACATGGCATTTTCGCTTGAATATTCCTTCGTCATTTGTTCCTTCTTGGATCGGTAATTTGCCAGCAGTTTATTGTAGCGCTCAAATATGACTTCGTTTCCTCTATCCGTTTTGGCCTCTCCATTTTGTTCTTTTTCATTTTCTCCCTCCTCTGCGTTGGCTGTGTCGTAATAAAAATTATTGTATGAGTTGAAATTTATTTGCCTGACTTCGTCGTCGAACTCTTCCTCTTCGTAGTCATCGTCGTCGTCATCATCATCATCGTCTTCCTCGTCTTCGTCAATTTGGTAGTCTTCGTCATCCTCATCATCATCATCGTCGTCCTCCTCTTCCTCTTCTTCCTCTTCCTCCTCCACCTGTGTGCCATCGTAGGCCTGTTGGTGGGGACCCCTCCCGGCCACACAGTTGTTGCCTTTCTTGTCTGCCTTATTAAAATTAACGGCCTTGTCTAAATAATCCATGTCCATCAGACCCAGTTTTTTTTTTTTCTGATTGTGCATAATATTTTTGTAGTTGTTCATGTTCATTTTATTATTTTGGCAGTTTTCGTCATTTCTGTAATTTTCGTCATTTGGGCCGTTCACCCCGTTTTGCGCGTTCGCGCCTTTGGCGTACATATTTGCAGGGTCGGTATGTGTGGGTAATTATATGTGTGTGGCGGGAGCTGTTCAAGTGAGTAGAGACCGATGGGTGAGCTGTTCGAAGGAGCGGCACGACAATGGAAGAGGGACCCTTCTCAGGTAAGAAGACGCACGGAGAAATTACCTCATATGCAAGTATACTTTTACGCGTTTACGTTTTTCACTTGTGCGTGGTGCCTCCAATGATTTTATACTCTATATAGGGTTCCGCGTCAAAGGAGGAACATCAAGAATTAATGCGCTTCCTGACAAAGTCATAACCCCCGGGTGTCTAATGAGGTTGTGTGCATACTGTTAAATGGAGCTCTACCTTTTTTTTTTTTTTTTTTTTTTTGCCACGAGCATTGAGAGATTTCACTCTTCTTAACCACTCCGCGTCTCCTTTTCGACATGGGTATAATTTTTTTTTTTTTTCCCCCTTCAGTCTTATCCCCACCTCGCAGGGCTTCTACTTGGCCACTAGCTTTCCCCCTTTTCGAGGTGGCTCTCCACCGCGCAAGTATAAAAATGCGTTTCCGCGGTGGTCATGCAGGTCAGATCAATGAAAGGTAGACAAGTTTCCTTTTTCTTTCTCGCCTTTCTGGTTTTTGTCACTTTTTTTTCTTTCTTCTCCCCTTTTGTGTTACTTTGTGCAAGGGGAACAAAATGTAAGAGCTAAGCTACGGGCCTTTCCAAGATATGGCCTTCCCCTTACAGCTTAAAGTTGGACGTTAATGTTCCTTTTCGAATGGAGCAAATGGGTAAGATGATTAACTTGCCCATGTTCGTGGGCATAATAGGGGGCACAACGTTGAGCGGATGATCGGCCACACTGCGTTTAGGTCGCTTTTTTTTTTATTGATAATCCTTTTTTTTTTTTTTTTACATGGATACCTTTGACTTTTTGAATAAATGGACAACGGAAAACTTGCACCTGTTGGGACGTGTTATATGTTGCAAGGTTTCTTTTTTCATAACCCCCCCTGGGGATGGATTTGTTCCTTTTCCCCAAGCAAAAACATACATAAATACACACGTACACATATGCCAGACCACTTTGCATTCCTTTTGAATGTGTTTTCAAAACGGGGGTGAAGGGTCGACCCATCGGAACAGGACCCCTTCCTTTTTTCTTCATCGTGGACGTTGTTTCTACGTACGTAAGCGAATTGGTACACAAGTGTTTGATGGTGTGGCGTTCGTTGTGGGACATACCTCCCCCCATTGGGGCTGTCTTGAAGCTTTTTTCACGAATGGGCAGACCAGTAGGAACAGGCGGGAAACCACGTCATTGCAATTTTGAGAATTAGTCGATAAAGTGGACATAAAAAAAAAAAACATCCACGCTGTGCCTTTTTGCAACACCTGCAATGGGGAGAAGGCAGCCTCCCCTGCGCCACCTCATCACATCATTATTTGGTGAAAAAAAAAAAAAATAATAAACACATGCATATGTGCGTACATAAAACAATGCGAACGCAAAACAGCTTGGGCGAGTGGTGTTATGTAAAGTTTCTTTAAATGGAAGTACAGCTAGGTAAAAAAATTTATTTAAACATTTGTTTTGCTTTATTTCGTCCCATTCCGCTCAAGTTCTCTTTTTTGGAGGCATTTTTTTTTTTTTTCCCCTCCTGCACGTGTAAATTGTGCATTCATCTTTACAAAGTTGCGCAAACGGGTAATTAAAATAAAAAGGACATTTGTTCTTCACTCATATGGGGATTTACACTGATTTTTTTAAAAACAGGACGAGTGTACTTCTTTCTTTTTACACCCGCAAGGGAGCATTTTGTTATATGCTTGTGATTATTTTATTATTTATTTAATTTTTTTTTTTTTTCCATCTCGGGGGGAATGAAAATCGCTTGATCTGTGCATAGCCCATAACATTTCGAGGGGAAAGGAAAAAACAAAAAATGATATCGTATGAATAGGCATGTTCACCATAACATGACATAGTATGACATAACATGCGCAACAAGTGGAGAGGAACCGAAGGAGCACGCTAAGCAGGCGATGCTAAGAAAGTGGTCCTCTTCAAAGGAGTGTCCCACCACGGTGAGCCCACGCAACAACCACGTTGCCACATGGAAAAGAAGCGCACAAAAATGTTTTGAAGATGCACACGGAAGCCTTTTCGAAACGACTACTCCACCTGTTGAGAGTAAACCGAATGATGTTTCGTGGCCCGTGTAGGTGCGCATACCATTTTGGCAACACCAACATGCTTAGCAAAGCGGCATATGGTGTTAATGTAAAAGGGGAGGCAGCCAACAGGCTGGACCACATGGTGGTGAGGATAAGCCGGAATAGGGGAAGCAACCCGTTTGAGGAGTTGGCGGGTGAGAGATTGGCTTCCCGTCCGGCGGATAGCCAAGCCGAATTGAAGGCAAAGTTTAGCATTAATGGTGGTGCAGAAAGTGGTGCACACTTTACGGCCAGTTTGGGCCCAAATGAAGGAAGTGAAACGAGGGGGAAGGAATATCTGCTGAACGAATTAAACGAGTTTGTTTCGGTAGATGGGCGGAGAGAGGAAGGTGGAGGTACGGTGAAATCCTCCACCCACAGTGAAAACTCCAACGCGAGTAAAGACGCTACCCCGATTGAGCATTTGCAACAGAGTGGCCAACCCGTGGGCAGCGATCACGATGAAGACATAAAGTTGAAACAGCTATTAAAGAAGAGACAAGGAATAAAAAAAGACATCGTAACGATAACGGAAAAGGCAAGGGATGAAATTAAAAAATTGGTCAAAGAATATCGTAGTAAAGAAAATAAAGACACAAATTATATTTTGAAATTATTTTACATAATCAAGGGATGCAATGGATTGACTCATTCATTTAATTTTGTCCACAGAAATGAGCTCCATGCAAATGACGAACTTATTTTCGAAGACGATGGCAGAAAGAACATCCTCCTAGCGATTGATAGTAAATGTATACTCTACGTCATTAACACGACGCTTGATTATTACAGCGACGATTTGACGGAGCGGTTTGTGTTCACGAATCCGAACGTCACGTCCGTTTGTCCCTGCGGGACGAGCTTCCACTTTAACCCCGGCAGCAGCTGACTGGCACGTACGCAAAATGCCCGCGTAAATAGCTGCATAAATGCGTGTCCACACACGCACTTGTTTGCCATTTTTACCCCCCACCTTTTTGTTTTCACGCCTTTTTTTGTTTTTCACGTGCCATCTTGCCGAAATGAACCTCAGTGCCTCAATTTTTATTTTGCAAATGCGGCCTGCTTAGCGAGGAGTACTGTCTTCTCTCGGGGCGCCGGCGTTTTGCATTTTGATCGTCTCCAGTAAACTGTCCATGTCGATTTCACCGTCCTTGACGTAGTTTAAGTCCTGCGATGCGAAGAGGTGCAGGGAAATGATAAAGCGATATGTGGGTTGGGAGAAGTGGTGTGGACAATTATAGGCCGCAGGACGAAGCGTTCCTCGAGGGGGAGCCGCTTACCACACCCCTGCGAGGGCATCACTCTTGTATATTTACCTTCGGGTACAAATTCGCGTTTTTCTTGTAGATCGCTTCATCCTTGGTAATGCAGTAGTAGAGGACACCATTACAAACGTACAGATCCATCTGGGTTTCCTCTTTGGCAGTATCGGCTTGGTTTTTCTCCTCCTTTTCCTGCGTCAAATGCTGCGCACGGTCCTTTGTGTTGGTCGCCATGTGGACCTCGCCGCTTCCCCTTTTAAGGACCGTCATAGGTTCTATTGCAAATGAAGAAGGATCAATTTTGTAGATACCCTTACCATGTGGGTGCACCTGATGTGTATTCTTCTCTCCATGCGCATCCACCCCATCGATGAACAAATAGTTGGTCAAAAACTTGTTTGTAAAAACAGGATGTTTATTTTTGAAGAGCCAGCTTTTGGCATTTATAAGGAGAACTTTTTTCTTGTTGGTTTTTTTAAAGGTGTGAATGTATAACTGCAAAATGTAGTGGTCCTGAGGGAAGGTGTCCTTAATGTGTTTTTTGAAGAAAGCACTTATGGTGTGTATGACTTCTTCCATTACGTCTAGTTTGGTCAAAAAGTCAAAGTAATAATTGAGGCATTTTTGAGACACGGCTACTATAATGTTGCAATAAATGTATACATCGAAGAGGAAACAGAGGTTGAGATTTACGTACTTTGAGACGATGAGATAGTTTTCTTTATTCATTTGCTTTTCCTTCAACGTCTTGTACACACCTGTGCAGCTCTTTAGCATTAGCAGGGCATAATATAGGGTGTTAACCTCTAGGCTGAAATTATTGACAAATGATCCTTTCCTCAAATTTTTGTAATTTACTCGAAGGAAGACACTTCCGTTGAGTTCCTCGATGGCTTGCTGTATTTCTTCCAGTTGGTTTCGAAACTGCTCACTTTTGAAAAGGTTTTGTCGCTTTCGTTTTTCGCACTTTTCATCCTGTATGTGATCGTGAGTGAGATCATCCTTGTGGCATGTCAAATCAGTCGCTTCTTCCATACCGGCGTTAGAAGCCATTTGTGTACTTTTCATTTCTGAGTGAGTTCCTTCCTCTGACTCTCCCGATGATGCATCCGAGTATGAATCGAACGATGAGTACTCATTGTCCTCTTCCTGCACAGCCCGTAGCTTGTTCCGTTTAACATAACTTGGGAGGAAAACTGAATCAAGCAGGAGGTACTCGACAAACTCCTCATTTAATTTTATGTGTTTTGATTTTATCATGATCTCATGATACTGTTCATACAATTCTTTGTAACTTATGGAGTTGCTTTTTTTCAGGGTGGAGTTGTAAAAGTCAGGTTCGAACAGGTCGAACAAAAAGGCATTGATTCGGTGGATTCCGCTTCGTATGTCATTTGCCGATGGGGAAGGGGGACAACACCATTCGTGAAAATTTTGAAATAAAATTTTTTTTTTTTTTTCCTCCAACTTGGTTTCTGTACTTATCGAGTGCAACTTGATGGTGCGAAGCAGCCGGTTGACAATTTCGCGCTCTTCCTCCTTCGTGATGCAAGTGTTCGTGGCGTCCGTACCGTTGATGGCGTTTCTTCTGAGCACCACTTTGAGTCTGTTTTGCCTTGCAGCAGCGGGGGTTCGCGCGGATACCTCTTCCGATGTGTGTTCCCCGTTTGCCGCCTTCCCTGCGGCATCCCCAATCGCGCCCGCCCCTTTCACAATAACGTCAAGGTCGTAGTTCCACTTCCTGCTGATGAGGGTGCATTCGTTAGAAACCACCGTCGCAACGCTTCTGTCTAAGTTCAGGTCGACTCCTACTTTAACCAAATTGTGATTATACTCCACATCTGCTTCATCAGTGCTGAGTAGAAGAAGCCCGTCCAGGTGTATCTGACGGACCATTTGGAGGGTTTCATCAGACCCACCTAATTTTATTCCACCTTCTCCTTGCACTGCATGCCCACAATCCTCCATACGCTTCTTTAATTCTTGTGCCTTCTCCTTTACATGCCCCAAAAGGGAATCTTTCACTTTGCGTGAGTTCAGAATCAGGTGGATGGACTTAAAATTATTCACCAAATACTCATAAAGGAATGAGCTCAACAGGACAGTGTCGTCCTCCATGTGTTCTACCTCCACTGCTTCTTCCTCTTCATCTACTTCACCATTTTGGGGGATTCCTCCGTTGTCATTTTGCATACCATTGTGGGCAGTGGTCATTTTTACGAAGCAACTGAATTGTGTTCTTTCCCAATATAGTTCAGACGTTCAATATATTTCTCTGTGATGCGATTCGGGTACATGGCCAAAGTGTAGAATTTGGACGCCTCCCTTCTGAGCAGCTCCAACAGGTAACGCTGTTCAGGATGAAGTGTAGGGGGTAGCGACGGACCACTCAATTTTTAACTAACAACGAGCAAGAGAGACATGCATGCATTTATCTCAAATGCTATGTTCTCCTAAGTTGTGAGGGCTTGGCGACATATTTATGTACGTGACGGGATGCAGCCACGAATCATTTCCATCACAGCCAAGTTAAAAATGATACCAAAAAAAAAAAAAAAAAAAAAATTATTTTCCAGATTACAATTCTGGAGTATATAGAAATATATATTAAGCCATTCTTCAGTTGCTACCGCAAAAGAGAAAATAAAAAAATAAAATGATATAAATAAAACGATTTAACAATAGGGCTGTATTTTTTTTGTTTTTATCTCAGGGGTTTGGTGTCAACAGGGACCCATTTCCATAATATGTACTTGTTCATCTATCCCTGGTAAACAAACCCGTCCCGTTCTTTTTTCTACCCCATTTTTTTTGCACCTGTTTTTATTTTGGGCCGACTGCCTGCACAGCATGCGCGGTGCCAACCTGCCAATGGGTAAACTACCAATCGGATCGTTGCTCGGATTTGTGCTGAGATATGTTCCGGGCGCATGTACATATGAGAGGCGCATTTTAGCGTGTTTTACAAGGAATGTTTAATTTAATTTAATTTTTTTTTTTCCAGCTTTAAGCCTTCGCTGTTGTAATGCCGCTTAGCAATTTGGCCTCTTCTCCGCTGCACCGCTTTGGCGATCCCGCACCCGAATCGCAAAATTTGAGGGGCACGTAACTGATGGGAAATCTACCTCAACCATTTCACCCTCGTCCGTAACTTCCGCACTAGGGTATGCCATTTTATATAAAAGAATGGTTACATGTGTGAGGCCTTTTTTCTCCAGTCTCTTGTTAAGGAGAAACGGAGAGTTGAAGTTGGAGCTGCAGGGTGAGAAAAGGATGTACGCATTCGATTCGCGCGGGGTACCAGTCTCGAGAGAGGTGTGAAAACGCTGCCTCTGTACACATGTACACGTACACGCAGCGGCTTGCGTGCAAGCATCACATTTATCTTAATGGAGGTTTTTTTTTTTTTTTCTTTTTTCTTTTTTTTTTTTTTTTTCTAACTGTTGTGTGATTAAGCGTTCGCGCAAGGAAAATAATTTTTTCGTTTCACCCTTTGTGCGACGCGTTTCGCGCATCTCTTTTTTCAGACCTTACGTTGTTCGCTTTTGTGTTTAAGGCTATGGACCTCTTCACTTCGGTCCCTTCCCCTTGACACGTTTCCCCCCATCTTCTAATCGCCTAAACTCGCAGGGTTTCTTTCGATCAGCGATGCACACCTGGGGTACCAACCACAGTGACAAAGCTTAAGGTGTGCAAGAAGCCATGAGAGCGGCCACGCTACCAATCCTGCGAAGGTTCATATGCACATGCGCCTGTGTATTGAACTGTCCCTAATGTTTTCTGATTCAGCAGGGGAAGCGCACGGGCAGTTACTTCAGGGGTGACTTCCTCACTGGTGCTTTGTTCCCCGGTGACTGCGCACGCCACCTGGCCTCCGAATCCCCACGAAGTTAGCCGTTCCCCACCCACTTCCCCTTCGCATGTGAAGGAGGTGTTAGGTTGACCAGAAAGGTTCCCTAGCGCACATGTATCTTTTGTGACATGCACCCTTTGTGAAAAACATTCTACCGTCCCGTTTCTTCTCGTCCACTCCACAATTTTTTCGTCACCCCATTTGCTTATTACCTATTTATTATTTTCATTTTATTATATTATATATATTTTTTTTTTGCTTGCACTTTTTTGTTCGCTCCATGAGCGTTCTTTCCCTAACTGTCTCTTCTAACCCAGCACGTCCGTACACGAAGGAGCGTACAGGCATGAGATGGCACAAAAGGAGAGGGCACTGGAAGAAGGATGTTCCTCCAATTTCGTTGACTGGTAATGCGAGAGGAAGTTGTACACACTAGGGTGTGTACATTTACAAAAATATATACATAGACTCGCAGATGTGCCGAGGGGTGAGCATACCATTTTTGTCCACACCAAAATTTAAGATTAGTGCACTTGCGAGAATGAGTCTGCCCCTCACCCCCTTCTAATGCCTAACACGTGGGGGTGAAAAACGCAGAGGAAGCTGTTCACGGGGATGTAGATTCACCACCACCACACTTGAACCAATAACCCTATGGGGCGGCCATTTACAGTTTTTTCCTTTTTATATATATGTTCCCCTCGCAGAATAGGACCTACTTGACGCAAGGCGCGTATTCTTAATGGATGGCGCGAACCCAAAGGCAGAAGCAGCAGCGCGCGTGAAGAGGGAGCGGGAGAGAAAAAGAAGCACAAAATAATAATGATTGTCTAATTCGCTTTCCTCTCCCCCGACTAGCTCCATACCCCAATCACCGGGCGGCACACGCAATTTGCTGATCTAGCTGGGAGACGGCCACGAGTGCAGCGACTCGAGTGGTTGTAAGGGTCCCGTGATCGATCCTGCCCAATTTCCGCCCCGCCGCTCTACTGCTGCTTCTCTATCGCCCCCTCCACTGCCACCCCCCCTCCGAGCGCGCGAAAAATGAATCATGAAAATGACGAATTACAAAAATTCAAAGGTAGACCTCTATTCGAAAACGTGCACCGTGTGAAGCAGCCGAGTCTCCTCTCCCACAAAGCCCTGAACATTGACATGAAGGGTTTCTTAAACCTCGCGGTCATATTAATATGTACAGTAAATTTCAGCCTGATTCTGGAGCGTATAAAGAAGCGTGGGTTCATGGTAAATTGGCCCCGGAGTAGTGACGTCCTGAAGAATTTGCCTCTGCTAATTTGTTTTTTGTGTTTAAGTGTAGGTCTCTTTTTTAGTTGGTTTATTGAAAGGCACGTAACATGTTGGTTGTTATGTCAACCGTGTGTTAGTGATGAGGGGGTCGGAGGGAGGAAGGTTTCTTCTGGGCGCTTCCTACGTGAGGATAAAAACAGCAAAATGAAGGAGTTGAAGAATTGTGAATTTATAGACCAGATAGGTTACTCTCGTGCTAGTGACGAGGCGACAAATGATGGGAGTGTTCAGAGTGGAGGGAAAAGCCCGTCGGGGGTGAGACGTAGAGGTGCAAAAAAGGGGCAAGAGGAGAATGTAGAGGAGGAAGAAGCGGAATATGTATATGAAGAGGAAGATGCAGGCGGATACTCATTTGGTCAGTTTGGCAACGTGCACAGTGGTAGTGAAAAGTCAAAAGGGTGGAAGAATTTCCATCTGTCCATTTTTTTACTAAGGTGTATAAATAGCGTCTTCATCCTGATGCTTCCATATTTAACCGTGACTCACTACGACGCAGAACCCATTTTTTCGTCGATCCTACTGACCATATCTATAGTGTGGTTTTTTAAAATTTATTCTTTTCACCAAGTGTGTTACGATACAAGGAAATTATACATTGATAAGGTGAACCTAGACAGGATAAAGGACCCCACATTTGAAATAGAATACGTGAAAACTTACCCACATTGTTTGAAATTAAAAGATTACTTCACATACATGCTCATGCCAACATTATGTTTCCAGTACACATACCCAAGGACAGAAAAAACGAGTTGGTCTCGCGTGGGCAAATATTCAATTGAGGCAATTTTACTAACAATAATGATAAAAATTATTTTAGAGCAATATATATTTATAACTATAGAAAACACATATACCATGCAGGAATTTCAATCAGCACAGCTGACGGTGAAGATTACTCACATAATAGAACGCATGTTAAAAATATCCATCGGGACCCTATACATTTGGCTCATTGGTTTTTTAATTGTATTTCATCACTGGTGTAATATATTGGCAGAAATAACCCGATTTGACGATAGGCTTTTTTATAAAGACTGGTGGAATGCTAGCTCTTTTGCAGAATATTGGAGGAGGTGGAATTTGCCTATCCATTATTTTGTTCACAGGCATATTAACAAACCTCTCATTTATTATGGCTTTAACAGAAGCTGTTCTATGATTATTGTTTTTTTTATTTCTGCTTTGCTACACGAATATTTGATTAGCATTCCTTTGAAGCTCGGTTTTTCAGGATACATATTTTTTTTTTTTATTGGACAAATTCCGTTGATACTTTTAACGAGCAATAATTATTTTAAAAAGCACAAGACTACTGGAAATGCATTTTTTTGGATTGTCTTTTGCATCACTGGCCAACCCCTCATTTTGTTCATTTACTACTACTCCTGGGTGAGTCGCAAGGGCATTCTGCATCGCTGAGGCGGGTGCGCGTCCATGTGTTTACACGATTACGCGTCTTTGTGCTTGCGTGACTTTGTGCTTATATGCCTATGTGTGTTGTATGGGGCGTTTGTCCACCCAGTCCAGTGGGCGCCTTCCGCTTCATGTGTTTACTGGACCATATGTATGTGATGACATTTACACGTATGCTCACGCGCGTAGTGCGCTCCCCTCGCGCGCTCCTTTCTTGTTAACAATTCATCCCACCACATTGACCTTATCGAAAAGACCCACCCTTCCCCGCGCATGCAAGTAGCCATTTGGCCCGTCCCACCGAACATATATATACACACCTTATTTGTGTATATTGTTTTTTTTTTTTTTTTTTTTTTTTTTCTGTTTTTTCCACCCCCAACAAAAAAAACGCAACAGTGACAATTGTGCGTATAAAAAGATAGATATATGCAACGCAATTAAATACCCAGTTGGTGCAGACCAACATGTGACTACTTCAGCGATACCAAAAAAACAAAAAAAAAAAAAAAAAAAAATATTCGGCTTATTGTCATCCCCATAAGGGCCTCCCCATTTAAATGGAAAGAGAGCCACATTCGGCCATTATTCTACTCAACTGTTTGGTCCTTCATTTTTCCCCTTCGCCTTTGGTCTTTACACACACAAACAAATGGGGCTTGGTAGTACGACCATCGCGAAATTAAAAAAAAACGGATCAGTGAGAGAAGGGCGCACAATTTAAGGTGAAGTCTATGATCTGTATTTACATTTTTTTGCACCCGATGTGAAAAGCACATGTGCTGTGGGTTCCCCATGCCCTTTTTTTTGAGGAAAACGACTAATCACATTTTGTCTTGCCAACCATGGAGGGAGGTAAAAAAACGAATAGGAAGAGAGGAAGTCAAATAGGGACTTCCCCCCCTTCTCTCTCTGTGATGTCACACGAGTATACCTTGAGAAGTCTAAGCCTACTGTTTATTGTGCGGGTGGGCAAAATGGCTAAACACTGCAACGACGCCGTTGCTTTTGATTACTCGTGTGGCATCCAAGATGACGTGCGTTTGCTGTTTGGCTTATGTACTCACACACATACATACCGCGCTGAATTATCTGAGCGGTTACCCCATATACTAATACTTTCCCACGCACCCCCTAGTTGACGAGCTCGATGCCATAAAAAATTATCTCACCGAACTTAACCGCTCAGCGCAGAGCTTACAAAATACAAATTACCACCGCAGTGTGTTGAAGGCTTCCTCAAGGAAGGATCAACATGAGAAGAATCCCTTCCTCCGATCCATTCAAATGAATAAAGACGTGGAGAATCAATTCAGGTGCATAGATCTTGTTAGCCACTCGAACGACTCGCAGAGTGTGAGTACGTCTGATGACCTCTCTGAGGGGGATAGAAGAAGTAGGCGAGGCAGCACAACAAGGAGAGCACTTCAAGTCGAGCAACGAAGAAAAAAAAAAACAACTTCGCTACCAAAGGGAGGGGGGGAAAAAAAAGACATTCGCTTTTCACTTGAGAACAGAAGCAGTGTGCAGGAAAGAAACAAATGCGGGGAATCCAACACGTGTGTTGCTTCTCTTTACAGACAGGGGGACACACAAACAAGGCTCGTTCCGTGTGGAGCGGCCAAGAAGCGGGAGGAGGGCGAATATAGCAAAATGGGGAGCTCCGCCTTGCGAGGAGGCCATAACGAAATAGGGAAGCCCCCCCTGTGCACAGATCAGCGGAAGGAAATCAAAGAGGGACAAACGAAGCAGACGGAGCAAGTGAAGCAGACGCAACACACACCCAACTTCTCCAACGAGCGGGAAAGGGAACTCTTCCAATACTTAATTGTAAAGGCAAATGACGAAATTGAAAACATCAGCCTGAGCTTGGGCAAGAAGTATGAGGAAGAACTTATGAACAAAGTGAACAGCATAAAAGGATCGTACGAAAATAAAATAAAAAAATTGTCCAATGCGAGGAAATGTCTTTGTGATGAGAAGGAAAAAATGGTGAAGGAGGATAAGAACAACAAAGAGGTCATAAAAAAATTGGAAAAAAAAAATATATTGTTGCTACACCAGATGGAACAATTAAAAAAAAAATTTCATCTTGTTTGTGATGCAACAGTACAAAAGGGGATGCCAAAATGGAATACTGATAAAGTGGGAATGGGTACAATGAGAGATGGCCTTTGTCGAGAAGGTCCCCTAGTTAAAGATTATGAAAAAAAGATAAGCAAGCTAAATGAGCAGCTGAACCGAACACATGGAGAGTGCTTAACTTTTAAAACCATGTGGGTAAGTTAATACACTGGCATTGCATTCTCTTTCTTCCCATGTGTGTGAAATAAACGGATGGGTGTGGTTCCAAAGTGGGTCTATTATATATGTGTGTCGAATTGTGTCCTGTTTTTTTTTTTTTTTTTTTTTTTTTCCCTGTAGGAAGGACATGAACGGCAATTGCACCAGCGACAGGAGGAAGTAGTACGCACACCCCTATGCACAAGCGCAATGAGAGAACTTGTAACGTTGTTTTTACACAGCGCATATGACGCACGATTAAATGCCGAGTTGTCTAATGCGTGTTCCTAACCCCTACACACATCAATCCCCAACCTGATTAACTAGAGTAACCTACAACGGGAAGTGCGGGGGTGTCTTACCGCCAAAAAGGAAGTAGAGGAAAAATGGGCTCATCTGAAAGGGGAAAATTTCAAGGTAAAACAGATAAGTGCCCTTTGCGCAGAGCTGCACTGTCATTCTATTTATGTGCCTTTTTCACAACTTATACGTCTTTCCCCCCCTCCCCTATTGACGCCCAGATGGAGGCGGAGAATGACCGCCTGCGGGCCGAACTGAGAAAAGCCAAGTTGAGCGTCCGGCAGTTCAAGGAAGACCATGCAGACGAGTAAGAGGCTGCATCATCGACAGGGTGATCAAGTCGTGCACCCATGGGGAGCGCTAAAACATATATTATGCGAGAAGTTTATTTCATTATTTATTTTTTTGTCCTAGGTGCCAGAAGAAGGATCACCTCCTCGCGTGCCATAAAACAGAAGAAAAGAAGCTGAAAGAAGATCTGCAAAGTTACAAAATGGTACAAAACGTATCGAGCGGGTGGGCGTCTACCGAAGCGATCATTCTGCGATCGGTGCTCACCTATGGACACATTTGCAGAGATCCATTTTTTTTTTTTTTAACAATATTAGAAGTGCGCACTGTTGGAAAATAGAAACCAGGAGCAGCTATTTGAAAAAAAGTGCAAAATGCTAGAGTAAGAAAAAAAAGACGCAAAAAAAAAAAAACAAAAAAGATGCCAAAATAGTGGACATCTTTTACATCAGAATGTTTCTTGTATCCACAATGGAGCGTTCTTTTTTTTTTTTTTTTTCTTTGCGGACTAGGAGCTATAACATTGAGATTACCATTCCGTTGTCTTCCCTCCCCCCCGCAGAAACGCGCTGAAAGATGCTGAAAATGAGAAGAGCCTTTGCGACAGGATCTGCGAAAAGAACGAGTAAACTGGCTTTTCCAAAAATAAGAAAAAAAAAAAAAAAAAAACGCGCTCGTGCATCCAAGTGGAGTAATCATACACATTTGGCAGCTCACATTTCACTCCTTTTTCCACCACCAACAATCGCAGAAACATACAGAGAGACATGCGCATCGAAATAAAGACCCTAAAGAACGAACTCTACGAGTGCAGAAATAAAGCTTACAAAATTAGTAAATCGGGACTTCACATTCCCGAGGGGGGAATATTCTATGGAGACTGGAATGGGATGGAGGCAAAAGGTACAGCAGAGGGTTAGATGTTCTTGCACTGCACGTAGGGAATGAAAGAAAAAAAAAAAAGACAACTCATGTTCACCTTGTTGCGCAATTCCTTTTTTAGGGGTGGCCTCTTCCGATGATGAAGTAGTTAGCCGCGAAAGGGAATCACCACGTGTAAGTTTTTTCTACACTTATGCAACAACCTTTTTTTTGTTTTTGTTTTTTGCGCCACCACCATCCCTCTGCTTGCATCAAGCCACATGATTGCTCCCCTTTCGACGCAGATGAGGGAAGACACACTTGGAAAAGACCAACAGTTGTAGGGATGCAGAGGGGCCAGACGCCCTGCGTAACGCAATTCGACATGGACGGGTTGTACACCCTCCCACGTGAGAGGGACCTTTAACCGTACTCAGGGGATTGTCCCCCCCCAAATCCAACCAAATGAGAAACTGCGCTTTCGTCGTGTTGCTGAATGTGAATTATTCGCCATCTCTCAGGCATAACTAATGGGTCATATAATTCTTTTGTGCTTTTTTTTCTTTCCACCCCTCAGCCCAGGAAAGCAGGACACAACGCAAAAGATAAAATCCGTACAGAAACAACTTACAGTAGGGAGAACCCTTTTTTAAATTGACACATCCATGTACTTATCATTTGGGCAGTATATATATATATATTCCATTGGGTAACTTCGTTCCTGCCATTTCCCCCCACACACACTCCACTTCACAGCTGCTCAAACTTGAACGTAGTAACAAAGAAGCTGAATTAAAAAGGTGTCCACAGCATGGTATGTATGTTAACCCAGTTGGAAAAATTTTCATGTGATGGGGCGACTTCATCACAGTAGGACATGTCTATGTGAGATGCCCCTTTGTTGTTTATTTGTCCTGTTACAGGGGGAAGAACAGAAGAAGTGCGAAGAAGGGAATGCCTCAGCACGAGGCTCCAATGCATCGATGACAAAATAAAAATGCTTGATGGGACTTTAAAAAAGATTCAAATGAGCATCGGTGATCACGTTACATGATGAGACAGAGAGGGGTGACTTAGTATTGTATATGCTAAATGTCCCTGTGTGGGTTGCGGACGGGTCTTAACCCTGTAGAAGCCTCTTGCGTTAAAACAATTTTGTGTAAATAAAAGAGGGTAGGTTCATTGTCATCACTTCGCCACGTGCACGAAAAAAACTTGTTCATATTTGACTTTTTAATTTTTTTTTTTTTTTTCTGTTTCACGCCTGTATGTTTTAGCAGTGCTGTGTTGCCTGGGTGTTTTTCTCTTGTTGGCGACGGTGCCCCTCACCCCTACCCCAGGAAATATTTTGCGCGCACATATTTTATATGTATATGTTTTGTGCTTACGCATTTGCACAAAAAAACGATTGTTACATGGCTCTATTTTTTTTCTCAACTTGTGCGGAGATTACCCCAAATGTAGGTTCCCCGTTTGGCTCATGTTGACTCTTCTTTTTTTTTTCCCGTGATTGGGTAATACTTAAATGCGCACGACTGGGAGGCTCACTTGGGACGCCCCGATGGAGCCAATATACATACGCATATGTATAGGTATATATATATGCGCATACATATTTCCTGCGCAGTCTCCTTTTTTTTTTTTTTTTTTTTGAAAACACCCTGAGGGGAAGAACAAACAGCGGGGCTACCCTTTTTGGTAGTTACGGCGTGTTCCTATATTTGCGTTTGAGTTCATGCGGTTTTGAATTTTGATGCATAGCCAAGTTGCGTACCTCCCAGCGAGCTATTCAACCCTGTGAGCATGAACCGCGTCAAGGAACTCGTATCATTCGAAGGGAGTTGCCATGACAGAAGATTCGAGTGAATATGTACAAGCACATTAGGTGCATTCCTGCGTGGGGCGACAATATATAAAGCGAGGCTGCAACTAAAGGGGCATTCGCAGGAGCAAGCTTGTGTAGGTTCGCTGCACGTAGGTTTGGCTCGCCCGGATTGGCCCCTTTTTGTTGTCGTAGTGTTACACAACTCGCAGTTGTAGTGTTGGAGGGGGCTCAACAACTCTTTTTGCCGCTTACCGAGTGGTCCTTGTAACGCTACTCTTTACTACCCCGCGAGAACACCATGGTGAGGGAGGCGCACGAGCTCCTGGACGGCAGCAGACCCATCCCCATAGACAAAATAACATACGAGCTGTCCCAAAATATAATCCTGGCATTTGACACCAACGAACTGATCTCCAGTAAAGACACGCAAATAGAAGTGGAGACAAGAATAGGTCTGGTGATTGACAAGAATAAAAATAGGATAAGATTACCAAGCAACACAGATGCCATCGTAGAAAGTAATTACTCAGATTTTTCTTCAGGGGTGGACAAGCATTCCTTTGAATATCTTTTAAATTATTTACACTCCCTGCGGGGAAAGGAGTGGAACAAATGGGGTGCCAATTATGGACAAGTCAGTAGCGGGGTGGACAATACAAAAATGTTTAGAGCGGATAGCGGGGTAAAGGGAAATGGTTATAGCGATGGGAAGGTACACAGTGGGAAGAGCAATCTCGCCCATGCAAGTGAACAAAAGCAAACTGGCCAAACGGATAATAATTATATATATGAATTTTTTTCCACAAAAAAGGTTAAAAGTGTAGATAAGTATTACATCCTGCAACAAAATGACAACTCTCGTGTTCGCGTGACCACTTATTTGAATGACGACTCAGGGGGGGAGAATGAAAGTATGGCCAAGTCGTTATGCAAAAGGAATTTAAACACGTGGAATATCTACATGGGGAATAATAAAGATTATTTTGACGAGGTGGACGAAGAGGACGATGAGGATGACGAGGAGGATACCAAAGGGAAGAAAAAAAGGAAGACTGACCAGGGAGGGAGTGAGATGGCAAATGTTAGTGGAGGGGGGTGTGGACATGCCCGATCGGGTGATGACTCCGTAGATTATCGAATAGCAATTAATTTGGAGCACACCAAACGAATAAGCAAATTATTTCTCTCCAAAATTTCGCCTGTACACGAAAGAGTAAAAGAGAGGACTTCCTTTGTAAATAAATTTTTGGGGATCCAATTGGACTTGACCCAAATTAAGACCAAGGATGATGGAGAAATTTACGAAATTGAAATTGAAATTCTTTCGAAAAGTATTTTAAAAGCCATGTCCAATTTACGTAACAAAAATGATTCAAATTATTTGCTTTTTATTTGTTCCAATTTGATAAATAATGCGCGGGGTATATGTAGGGAGCTCTGTCATTTTAAGAAGAGGCAAACTTTGGGCAAGGAACCCAGCTTGGATGGTGGGGGGGACAAAAGTGTGCAAAGCACGTATGTACACTCAACAAGGGAAAAAAGAAAATTTGAAAAATATATACACTCGGTTACCCCTATCATTGGGGATTATATGTACAGAGTTGTTGCCAAAAATGAAGAAAAAATTCACGCCGTGCTGCGCGAGGAGAGCCTGTCCAACAAAGGCAAAATTGAGGCTTTGCAAAAACTTATCGACATTCGACGCCACAATAAGAAGTCAGTGAAGAAGATCAGCGAGACGTATGCAGAGAATCGCTGGAGGGTTGTACGTACGCAGGGGACGCAGGGCGAGGTCGTCCTGGTCAGCGAGGGGAGCGAAGGAACGGTCGAAGCGGGCGAAATGGGCGATGTGGACGACGCGGATGGGCTCGGTGTGGAGAACCTGGAGCCCACAGCATTCAACTTCGACAACAGCAGCGCCAGTGGAAGCGAAGGGGAGGGAAACAAAGGAGAAAAGGACAGCGCACAGCAGGATAGCAGTAAGTATAAGGATTTCTACAGCGATACGTGATATGTGATCAGTCTGCATGGGGATGAAAAACGTTCCCGTCTTTTGTTTACATGGTTGTTTCGGTCGTCAGGTAAGCACGGGTCGTGCAAGCTTTTTTGCTTAAAATGTACATGCGGAATGGCTTTATTTTATTTATTTATTTTTTTTTTGAATGGTCATCCCCCTTTTGCACACACCTTTCCAATGACGCTTGCGCATATTTGCTTTTCCAATTTGTTTAATATTTCGCTCACGCGTTGTACAAGCGAGGGTGGCTTTACGTTTTTTATTCGAACGTTTTTTTCTTTTTTTTTTTTACGTAAACATTTAGAACAGTGTGAATACAACACACTGGGGAGTTCTAACCCGTTGGTGTGCTCTTACAAATGTGATTATTATTTTCCCGCTGCTCATTTGGAGGGCGAAAAAAAAATATATATCACAAAAAAGATACGCCGTGGGGCCACGCATCATGGATATGAAATTTTGCTGCTACGCGGAAGTGTGCGCACCGGCAACAAAAGCGATTATATATATTCAGCGGAGTCCGAACAAAATTATTAGCTTTTTTACAAATGCATAGCGGTTTGTCGCGCCATTATATTTCCCACTGGGTTATATATGTCGTTGCTAATGTACGTTGTTTTTACCTCCACGCAGGAGATGTACTTAAGCAAAAAAAATACATATGCGCGTTTATATATTGCTTGCCCCTGTTTTGTGCGTACCTCATGCAGAGGGGATTCGTTATGTTGTATGCGAAGAAAGGGGGTGAAAAGTGACGCATGGCCGCGTGCGTTTTGCTTTGTAGCTACTGCGCAATATACGTTGGGGTATAGCGCACCCCCATCGCGCGCGGTGCCGTAGGCACAAACAACGGGTTCTTCGCGGTAAGGCGAGGGGTTCAATGGCTTGTGCGCAGCGGCACCGGTTGGTTGCAGAGGGGGAAAAAAATACAAACAAACGACGCATACGCGTATGTTAAATGTATACATATGCTCCTATACAATCACATTCATGCAAGGCGGAAATACCCCAATTTGCAAGCCGTGTAGAAGGCGCATCCCTTTTTTGCCAAGGACCACGATAAGGAATAATACTTTTTGACACGTAGAAGTCAGGGACGCTTAAAAAAAAATGCACTTTCCTTATTTTGCGTAATTTTTAACATGCACAAAAGTAGCAACGAAAAAAGTACCCCTAAAAAAAAAACATCAGCGACGACGTACATTTCGCAAGCATACAAATCTCTCATGTGAAAAAAACAACAAAACAAGCATAGCAAAACAAAAACCTACAAACAAAAATTGTTAGCAAAAATTAAAACAATTAAAAACAAACCTTTTTTCCATCACGACGCATAAAAGTAAGCAAGCAAAAGATACTGAACTCGTTTTGCCAAGTTTTATAAGCATATTATTGTTATATTATATACCGCTCCCCGCATGGGCAGATATATTGCATACCAGCCCCTACATGCCCCATAAAAAATAACTGCTGCATCGTTCCTACATGCTTTTCCTATATATATAAAACTTCCCCCCTTCAAATTTTAGAGTTCACTTTTAATTTTAAGCCAAAATGAGTAGGAGCAAAGTTTTCTTCGATATTTCCATTGACAACAAAAGTGCTGGAAGGATTGTATTCGAGCTGTTCAGTGACATCACGCCTAGGACATGTGAAAATTTTAGGTCTCTCTGTGTAGGTGATAAGGTAGGTTCTAAGGGAAAGAACCTACATTACAAGAATTCCATTTTCCATCGAATTATTCCTCAATTTATGTGCCAAGGAGGAGACATCACAAATGCAAACGGATCTGGTGGAGAGTCCATATATGGAAGATCTTTCACTGATGAAAATTTTAAAATGAAGCATGACCAACCAGGTTTACTCTCTATGGCTAATGCAGGACCGAACACAAATTCGTCTCAATTTTTTATCACCTTGGTTCCATGCCCATGGTTAGATGGCAAGCACGTTGTTTTTGGTAAAGTCATTGAAGGCATGAACGTTGTAAGGGACATGGAAAAGGAAGGTGCTAATAGCGGTTATGTCAAAAGGCCAGTTGTAGTCACTAACTGTGGCGAGATATAACGGATGATGATACTCATCCAGTGAGTGTACGCATGTACAATATGCGATAGGTGTGACGAGGGGAACTGCGTTTCCATCGCGCGCGGAAACAGCTCCTCGAGGAGGCATGCCCACTAGGGTTTATTGCAAACATCAGGACATTCCCCTTTACGCACACGAACCTATATTCCTAAAATGTTTTTACTAACAATCGTTAAATTTTGAATGTTTTATGAGCAATTCATACACAGTGCTTACGTCCCTTTTGCGTATTTCCCCTCTCAAAGCATGTGCACAAGCTAGCTGTGAATGGGCATAGAGTGTACACACACATACGTATGTATATATATATGTATCGTTTTATTTCCCGTCGTTTTGCATGCTTTGCTTTCTGTACCCGCGCGCTTAAACAGCAAGGCGTCTTATGGAGATTGTCGGGTAATGTTTTATTATTCATTGAAAAGGTTTTTTTTTCCCCAACAGAACTTTTTTTCCTTCATAGCGTATTGTTCATTCATCAACCATTGCCCACGTAGAACACCCACCCATGCATGCCTGCATGCAAAAACGCACAATGCAACCATATATAATCCCATGAATTAGAATTAAAAGGGAGAAGAACAATCGTGTAGAACTTCTTACATTGTTAAGAGGCGGAGAAAAATCTTCACCCGTGTCTGATAAAAGGCGTAACGTGCTAGGTGTTACCACCCCTTTGGCCATGCCGCAATGTACAATACAGGACACTCCCTTGTACACTTGGTTGTAATATAAAACGGGGGAGGACCCCTTTAAATGAGGTCAGCGAATTTGCAAAAATGGAAAGAAAGATAAGGACAAAGGTAGTATGAAAACGATATGGATGTGCAAATATGTATGAGCCAAACTGAACATTCGCGCACAAACACACGTGGATCAGTGTGTACACACATATGTACAGATTAACGCTGCGTAAAATTGAGTTTATAACTAATTGGGAATTAAAACAACAACAAAAACAATTTTTTCAAAATGATCAAAAAAAAAAAAAAAAAAAAAAAAAAAAGCAGATAAGGCTCATTAAAAATAAATAAAACGGACGGAAGCATAAAACAACTGGTGATAATGTGGAAGCTCACAAAATGCGAAGAGACGAGTTAGAGGAGGGCGTGTGCTCCTTACGTTCATCACTTCACATGGCACTAATATCGTCATATGGCTTCCCAAGGTTTTTAAGATGCTTCTTTTGGGATATCGTGTAGGACACAATCATAACTGACAGGATGATCTGTGAGGTAAAAAAAAAGAAGAAAAAAAAAAAATGAAACAATTGCAGTGCACAACTCCGATGTGCGTGGTGCACGTACACAAATGAAGCAACCGCCCATTCGTGCACATTTTTTTCGCATTATTTGTCAAACCTTGAAAAGGAAAAGGCAAACCCAGATGGACAAAGCAAAGGATAAGTGAGAGATGTTGTACAAATAGTTTAATCTGAAGGGGTGAATAATTTAAATTGTTGTCGAGGTGGGGGAGAGGGTGTTATGTGCGTATATGTGGCCGCTCTGTTGCCCTATCCATCGGCAATTTGGGGTCCCACTTGGAGACCCTTTGATGCAGCACCTACCTTGGGAGGGAACACACGATGAGAGTCACAACCGGCATGGATATGTAACCAAGCCTTCGCGTGGGGATGTGCGAAAAGCAGAACATGTTTTTGCAGGGCACTTCGAAGGAGGAGGTGTTCATGTAGTAGATGTTGTTGTTGGGGATTCTGGAAATTAGGACGTCGGCCAGGAGGGTCTTCGGGTGATGCAAAAAAGCGGGTGCATATGTGTAAGGTAGTCTCATGTGCACGTGGTTTAGTACGCGCTCTTTTACTATACTCTCTGTAGTGCATCTTGCTCTGTGCACTCGTCTCGGCTCTCCGTTGCCCTTACGTGGAAGTATTTGTTGAGGGAGTCCGAGTCCAATTTGTTATACTTGAGCAAGTAGGAGTGCTTGCACCAGTCGACGCCGACCTCGAGGAGCAGAATAATTATGAGCCAGCTGGAAATGCTAAAAAACGAATTCTGCGTTCTGTACGCAGTGGACATTTTTAGCAACACGAGGAAGGCATCGATGAAGAGGTAGAAGCGCTCGACTGCATCTGAAGCAACAATTGTGAATAGGGAAATTTTGGAGAATTTTTTGAAGACTGTTGACTTGATTTCTGTGAAGTTACTCATCACTAGGATGAGAAACATGGTCGACTGGCGGAAAGGAAGGGGAGGGCGGGGAGGCACGGGTATATGTACGTGTGTTTGATGATGTGGTGAAAATATATGCGGACACTCTCACACACATATACATATATACATATACATGGCGGTGTTCCGAAAGGAACGGAAGCGAAAATTACCTCCGAGGAATTGATCGCAATGTTCAGCGAGAGGAATCGTACGAGGTGTGCAAAGGCGTGTGTTAAGATATAAGTGAGAACAAGAATGTACTGCACAATAAATTTAATGAGTATACTATAGAAGGGGTAGAAGATGGGTATTTTAAATTGCTTGTTCATTTGGTCATCCTTGTTATTATTTTTGAGACCATCAATTTTGTTTTTTTCTCGTTCGTTTGGATTGAGCTGATTCTGCTTCTGGTTTTGGTTATGCCTGGTGGTGGTAGTAATTTTATTTCTACACTTTTCCGCGTTTTGTGTACTGTTGCTAATTTGGCAAATGCCTGTTGGTTTGTTCGTCAGTTGGTCATCCTTCTGGGGTGCCTCACATGGGATTAGATGTTTCGGGGTTGGCGATTTGTTGTCTGGGAAGTGTTCCGCTTGGGTCGGGGATCCCCCATAGGTGGCTGCAGTTGTGCTTGTGGTGGCAGTTGTGGGCGAAGATGCTAGGAAGGTTGTCTTTTTGCTACCTTGCGGAGCCCGACCTGGGTTGTGTTCCGTCATTCCGGGCATTCCCCCTGCCTCTCGTTCGTTCTCTTTACTCGTATAATGGTTCCTAACAATGTACACATAGGATCGTAAGTTAATAATTCTGATGAAAGTTCGAATCATATTATCTATGAGGTCCATCCCTAACGATCTGAGCAATCGCTCCAAAATTTCAAGCATATTCAACACAACGTATAATTTCATAA